TGAGGCAGGTGTCCTGGTCTCAGTCTATGGTTTTGGTTTGGCTTAAACATTTTCTGCTGTATGTAATTCTATTTCAATTTTGAAAATAAAAACAAATCAGTTTAGAGAGACTTTGTACTGGAGATATATTATTTGTGGGGACAAACTGAATTACAACTTGGGGCAGCAACAGAAATAAACAGTAAAGCGGTTCTGAGGTAAGCCTTTTTACCATGGCCTCTACAGAGGTGGGAAGGGTACATGTTTAGCTAGGATGTGACTGTATATGTTCACTAAAACATCAGGTTTCTTTGATCTTCACTGAAATTAAATCAATTCAATATGGTGATAGTGATTACTTCATGATGATCAGAAGAAGATCTGACTGGCTGTTGATGACATCACAGAACTGCTGGGACATGTTCCTTGTATACAGTTGGTTACATGTGTCTTTGATAAATAAAAATGTGGAAATATTAATATCACTTAATAATGCAGTTTAGATTTGAAGATAATGTTACACTAGGAATCTTTAGCAGGAGGCAGGGATGGGGGAACACCAAAGGGAATTTTTTCTTTTCTGCCTAGGAATTTATGATGATGTGCATAGAATTTAATGTAATATAGACAATTTAAGTAGAAAAATGATACTTTAAATTATCATCAGTAAGAGAAAACACCTCACGTTTCATACATTTTAGTCCAGTGACTAATATTTAGAAGTCAGAAAATATATGGTAAACAGAACTCATGCAAATAATTTAAAAACTTTAAGCTAACACAAAAGGTAATACCAACCTATTTTCAAAAATTTGGAATAGCTTTCACAGACAGTGAATGAGGACTTTTGGTTCAGAATAGCATATGTATTTAATCATTATGTTTAGGTCAGTATCTTAAACATGAATTAATTTTGAACTTTCAAGGATATTAACTGCCATTTCTTAGGTTAATTTTTAGAAAAAAAAAAAAAAAAGGAAGCAGAGAAGTCTTACCTAATTTAAATAATCCATTACCCTTCCAGTGACTACAAGGCACACTTTACTGAATGGCTAAGTAATAGCTAAGTTTCAGTCCTACTCTGAATTTTATATTATGAAAAATGGTTATAAGATTCTATCCATGATATTAGGTTAAACTAAAGCTACCTGATAGAGTAATGTCAAACTGGATTACATTTCAAAGTCTAATAAAAAATAGACCCAGTACTTCAGTGCTCCTTCTGTTTTATATTTAGAAATTATAAAAATAGCTATTATTAGCAGACTATTATTATTATATTAATAATACAGATTATTCTACTTAATATTTTAGGAAGATTTAAAAATTTTTTTATATTAAAACTAAATGTCCAACAAAAGCCTGCCCAACAAAAACCAAATTAAGATCTGAGTGGTTCACAAATTGATCTGCCACTTGAATCAAGAAAGACAGTCTCACTTAGACAATGACATGTTTGGTCTACGTTGGCCGCAGAGGCGGTGGTATCGACACCATCACCTTCAACATTACAGCATCTACACACACATTTATCTCATTTTTCTCATAGCAGCCGGTTTTATAGGACACTTAGGGTATTGCTAATCTTTGGATTCAAATGAACAATGGCTTGTTAATTAGGCCACCCAAATTTGGCTACAGCAGAGATTTTTTTTTTTAAGATTTTTTATTTATTTATTTGACAGACAAGAGATCACAAGTAGGCAGAGAGGCAGGCAGAGAGTGGAGGAAGCAGGCTCCCCGCCAAGCAAAGAGCCCAATGCGGGGCTCGATCCCAGGATCCCGGGATCATGACCTGAGCCAAAGGCAGAGGCTTTAACCCACTTAGCCACCCAGGGGCCCCTAGAGCAGAGATGTTTTAAAATTTCCCAGAGAAAATACCAGATGTGCATCATGATGAATCAATTTGACACAAAAGGCTGTATTATTTCCAACAAAACATCCAAGCTGGGACACTCACTACCTGTGTGACCTTGGGCAAGTCACCTACCTAACTCGTGGTTCTCAGCTTCCTTACACTAAGATGGGGATAATAATAGCATCCATGTCTCAGGACTGTTAACAGGATTAAAGACAGAGTTTAGAGTAATGCTTGACAGGTAGTAAGCCCTCCATAAATATTAACTGTTGTAATTGCTTTTTTTAGAACATACACACACCCACACCCACCCACCCACCCACCCATACACACACACACACACACACACACACAAATAGAATTAGTGATTGTCTACACTACCATCTTTATTTACCATAATAACATTCTTGTTATTTTCCCCCTCTGGTCCTGGAATATATTAAATGTAGACGACTTGTCCACTTGGAAACTTTTATTTTAGTCACTGGGTCTCAAGACACTGAAGTTATGTCAAGATATTCTTTATTACTAAATTTCATTAAAATCAATCAACTCCTTCCAAAGTAATCAGAAAAGAGACAACACAGCATGATAAGTGGTTTATTTTAGAAGAAATGACCACTTTATTTCTCTTCACAATCAAATAAAACAATCTCTGCAGCCATTAATGGTAATGATGCCTTAGTGCTTTTGAGTTTACAAAACACTTTCAATGCACTGTGAGAGAGTTCCACCTACCTTTGCTTTTTCTTGCTTTCAAAAGAACTTTCTCTAGAGAGAGCCACATTTTTCAATGTACTCATGACTGGGAACACAGAGAGGAAGGCATCTACAAGCAGCAGCACCAATATTATTACTTTGGCCCATTTTCTTATAAGTAGTTGAAGTAGTTGTTTTTTTTTTTTTTCCCCTACACAAATTCACAGAAAATCCAGAGAAATAATAATGTTTCACAAAGGCACTAGACATGCTTCAATTTCACTAGGAAGAAGGCAACTTGATTACTGTCATTCAAGTACTCAAAATTTGCCAGGGTTCTACAGAAAACTCCAGAGACTCACTCATCAAGCTCTCCCCAAGTCTCTGAGGCAGCCATTGCCACAGAACTTTGTTTTTCTAATAGCAAATCCTCTTATGTGAAATCTCAACTTTGCAAACCAAAAACAGGAAAGTCTGACAGACCAATTAAGGAAGTAAAATCAACAGTATGATAGCCTTCCCTTAATTAATTAAGGGAAACCTCCCTAAAATGGGTCTGGGAAGTTCAGGAGGGGAAGCTCTCATTGCCTACCACTCAGTCCTCAACTGAAATCCAACAGGAAGAGACAGTGCTTGCGAGTGGACACTAATACTTCATTGCTGCACAGACAGGAGCAAGAAAGGTTTACCTCCTCCTCCCTAAGGCCCACGACAGTCCAGCCAAGGAGAGACGGTCACAACTCAGCCAGTGAGAAGCCACTATCCTTTCAAATCCCAGTTTACTCCAATGGACATTTTGTTTATAACGGCCTTCCCAAATTCTAGCTTTCCTCTATCAAAGAATGTTCCTCTCCTTTGTTCTCCAGACTTGTCTATGGTTCTGCCCCAGCTTGCTCGTCCCACCCTGCAATTCTCTAATAAATCAATCTTTTGCTGGTAAAATAATTGGCAGTTTTACTTTTTAAGGTTAACACTTTCTTCACCTTCAAAAATCAGTGTCTATATAGATTCAGAGATTTTTAAGCCCTGAAGGAACTGGGACTTAAAGGTATCTTATAAACCACAAATAACCATAATAGTAATAAGAAAAAGAAGTTATTTTCCAAAACTCAGTCCCCTAAATAATGTTATTAAAGCTGAACAAAAGAGATACTATGTCAAATATAGCAGCACAGAATTTGGTAGCACATCTGATTCTTATTCATTTCTCATGGGAAACAATTCACAGTTTTGCAAATGCTACTTTTATTTGGTCTTATTTTTATCCTTTATGTGCAAATGGCGGGACTAATTGTCATACCGGTCTTTACTGCAAAGTAAAATACACCTCATGAATAGAACAAGACCCATGCTAACCCCAAAGATTCATATTGGTCCCATGCAGTAAATTTTTGATATCCAGGAGCCCCTCTGTATAGGGTTGAACCTGTCTTTGTCCATTGTGGAGATGCAATTTCTGCCCTTACTATCATAAATGAAGTCAAATCCAGTGACATTGCACATGGTCCCACCATTTTTATCTAATGTTCTATTTATTAAGCTCACTCCAAGCTATCAAGTGGCAGACATTTCTAGCACTGAGGAACTTACCGTTCATCAAAAATATTTTATTCCTAATCCTCTGGAGCATGAGCCCAATATTTGTTTTTATAAAACCAGGATTATGACATGGAACTCCACTCTGCCTTTCAAAATATGAACTTTTGGAAGAAAAAGTTTACAAAAGAAATTAAATTAAAAAGGATAAGAAGACTATAAGAAGGAAAAGAGGAAAAAACTATAATTCACCATTTAAATAAAATGATGGGAGACAAACATGAAGAGAACAAGCTTTTTATGTTATAGTTGGGCCTCTGCAGGAGAGTTTAAAACATGGCTCTGGTCACTCCAGATGTCAGTTGTGGATGACATCAGAAACAGACCCTACAATGTTAGTTTCAGGCTCACCTAAAACTTTTCAAGCACCCTTTGACCTCTTGATATTATCTCAGGTCTAAACCTACAAGGGCCCAAATCCCTAGAAGGCTTGGAAATCTCCACATGCCTGGAAATTACCTCCACACGTGTTCATTCAGGCTCAAACACTGTATGATAGCTATATTAGAAGGCTCTACAAAACAGGCAATCTGGGGCGCCTGGGTGGCTCAGTGGGTTAAAGCCTCTGCCTTCAGCTCAGGTCATGATCCCAGGGTTCAGGGTCCTAGGATCGAACCCCACATCAGGCTCTCTCCTCAGCAGGGAGCCTGCTTCCTCCTCTCTCTGCCTGCTTCTCTGCCTACTTGTGATCTCTGTCAAATAAATAAATCTTAAAAAAAAAAAAAGGCAATCTCCTTTCTGTACCAGTTACAAATTTCTTTTAAAAATAAAAAAGAAATTGTTTTTCTAATAAAACACAATGAAAATATGAAATAAAAATTTTCTTTAATTTTTTTTTAAAAAAACAGTAAAAATGAAGAATTCCTACCTTGAACACGTCAAGCTGTTGGTTAATTGTCTCTGTTTCCATACCAACAGGGCCTTGAGACTCTTCATGTTCTTCAGCCTTCTGAAGCAGAGAAGAAAATTCCTTCAGTTTGCTGTAGAATTCTTCAAGACGTCCAATTGTCCCTTCAACCTGCTCTTCCCGGGCTTGGGCTCGATCCAGTAACTTGTTGCATTGTTTGCTTAAAGCTTCCAAGTCCCTTTTGATTCCAACAAGATCAGGTGAGGTCTCTTCCATGGCCAGCATCATCTTGCAGGTTTTATTAGCATTGTCGTTGCTGGCTATGAGGGCTTCTAGTTTCTTCAGAAAGGCTTGAATAGCCTCCTTCTGCTTTTGCAAGGTGTCTACATCTCTTCCCACCGGGGCCATGCTATCCAATTCATCATCGAACTCTGCAAACTGAGAAAACATCTCTCGGATGGTATTCTGGAAATGCCCAATGCCCTGAAGTTTTGTTTCCAAGAACGAACACCTTTCATCAACCTGCTGATTCAGTGCACTATGGTCTTGAGCTAAGGTTTCTGCTTGTAATAAAATATCAGAGGTTCCCTTTGAGTCTGAGGCTTCTACCATGAGGTCCTGGGCAAGTCCTCTGACCAAATCTACCTGATGCTTTACAGTCTGAAGTGCCTTCTGCTGGGTCTGCAACACGGTCAGGTACTTGTTACTGTAGGCCTGGGGTCCTAGGGAGTCATGGGCATCCAGCTGTTCCTTTACACACTCAAGCTGCCTTTTAGTTTCTTTGGAAACTTCCTGAAATTCTTTCAACTTTTGGGCCATGCTTTCCAGACAGAGTTTCTTACTGTGAAGTTGTTCAGTGACCATCTCTACCTTCTGGATCAGTGATTTATTCTCATCTGTAACAACCTCTTTATCTACCTCACAGACACTGAGCAAGCTGTTGGCTGCGTTGTTGAGCAGTTCAACCATCCCCAAGTGTTGGTTCATTTCCTTCTGCAAAGACTTTAACTTGGCCATAGCATTCTCAGTTTCAGCAGGATCCAAGCAAAATTTTATTTCCTCCAGGTTATTCTGACATTCATCTACCCATGGCCGGAGAGTCTCTACATGTTCTTTATACTTGCGGGCTTTTCCCAGTGAATCTTTTACCTTGTCTTCTCGTTCTTTCACCTGCTTATTAAATCCATCCCAATTGGTTTTAATTGTGTTAAGTTGTGACTGTAAGGCCGCCTTCTCAGACCCTTGTGTTTTTAATAAGAGATTTTCACCTTCTGCAATGGTTTTTTCATAAATATTAGATTGAGCAGACAGAGTTTTACCAAAGTCTTCCTGGTCTTTAATTAATGACTCCAAGACATCAAGTCTGGCTGATATTGGGGGAGAACGGTTTTGCTCCTCTTTCTTCGTATCCAGCCAAACCTGGAAATCTTGGGACATTTGCTGAAATTGGTGAGAGCTTGCACAGGCTGCCTGAAGGTGCTGAACATGATTCTCTAAGAATGAAATCACAGATATGTTTATTTCACATCAAAATGTAATCTAATCTATGAAAAGCCAAGAGAAAAACCACCAAATAAGGACAGAACCGTATAAAAGGGAAATGACTTGTCCATTGGTGCGGTTTTTACATATCATGAAGGCCCCACGCAGCAGCACAGAGGGACTGCATGGGTCTGGGTTCTGGCTTAACCCCTCAAGAGCTGTTAGACCCTGGGTGGATGATTAAACCTCTGAGCCTCATCTCCCCAAGTATAAACTGGCAAAATTAATAGAAGCTGCTATGGCAATTAAATGATAATACATGTAAAGTTCTCAGCTCTATGCCTGTCATGGGAACGTGGCTGCAATCATCTCATCATCATCATAGCTAACATCACCAGTATCCCATCAAAATAAAGGAGTAGGTCTGAGACAGTTGCTACAATCAATAAGCAAATCCAATCAATTAAAAAATATATAAACTGAGTATTTACTAGCTGCAAGGCACTTAGTGTTACTTTTCAATCAGAACAAACAGAGTAGCCAACTGTGCTCTCTTCAGGAACTCACTCCTGCTGCCTCTGAGCCCCATGGGCACATCTGTCACATAATCAGGGCCACGGTAGGTGAGAGAAGAACCTAGTGCCCAATGCTTCTCTTTCACACATTTCTCTAGAAAAGCTTTCTGTGACAGGACAGAACAGAGTCACCACAGGTAAGAAAAGGACTCGAAGCATTTTTAAGTGTATTCATCTGTTCCTCTGGTGCAATGAAACTGTCATGCAGCAAAAACATTAACGGACATCTTTTAAAGACCGGTTTGAAATGCCTGACATTTCCACGGTTAAGTGACTTTGCCTATTGTTTGTGCGTTACCCCCACAGCTGTGTCTGGGCTCAGCAGAGCAGCCCCTCCTTCCTCGGCGCTCTCAAGAAGGGCAGAGGCCCCTCAGGGTCCTAGATTTGGGGCCACCGCCTGGAAAGAGGCACGGCACTGATCTCCGTTTCCGGGAAATTCATGTATTCAAAGATAGACAAACCTGCTTTTTGTTCAACATCCTTAAATAATTTTAAGATGCCTTCCAGTTGCCTACTAAGCTCTGCTTTCAAGTACTCTTCCTTCACCAGTGCTGACAAATCTTCACAGAGGGCCTGGGCCACTTTTATCTGCTTCATTTCCTGCTCTAGTTCCTGCTTCATTTTTTGGGCTGCTTCCAACTGCTGGTTCATAGCCTCAGGGTGTGTGCTCACAGCCACACTGCTGCTGACTTTATTATCCAAGTCACTCAGTTTATCAGAAAGGCTTCTCAGCAGGCTTTGATACTGCGTGCTTTTAACAATGGCTTGGTCAATCCAGCTGCATCTGTCGCTCAATTGTCCCGTGAGGCTGTCCCACTTTTGGGTCACAGCTGCCAGTTGCTCTTTCACGATCCCATGGAAAGAAGGGTGTTCACCAGGTCTGCTCAAGATGCCCCGGCCAGCGGCTGTTAGCTGTTCGTACTGAGGCTTCCGAGTATCAAATTCTTGCAGCAGAATCTAAGGCAAAGAGGTAACAAGGGCAAATAAACACCCAAGTTATTGGATGATTGATTATGGAAAACGGAACTTTACATTTCTAGACAGACAGAAATGGTATTTATCTATCTAGTTTTTGCTTTTGTTTTTTAGTTCCTGTTGTCCTAGTTTTTATTTCAAGGGCAGGGCAATGATGCTAAATTAATCCAAAGAGGAGTGGTCTCTATTATAAAAATTTTAGCCAATAAATCACGTTGCTCAGAATGTAGGCTCAGCTCTGACTCTCATTATACAATGAGTGATCCAGAAATTTCCCTTTGTTAGTACATTTCATCTCTCTCAGGGAGACTACCAAGACTGGGGGCAATGATTTCTCCCCAGATACTTAAATACTTTGCTTCCATTCTCTTCAGATTAAGAACATACATGAGCTAGGACATGTTGACTCTCAATGACCAAGATTGCTTCATATTTTCAATACACAGGACTGGCCACATGGCTCTGAGACCATAGTAGACGCAGGGAAATCCGACTAGCACCACAATGGAGCTTTTGCTTCTACCTCTGACTTATATCTCAGGGATTTTTTTTTTTTTTCTCCTCATGGGTTCATCCACTTTATAATTAGACCAGTCTAACCCATGTGTGGTTCAAGGTTCCCTCTTTGTTTTTCTTCTTCTTTCTCCCCTTTTTATTCTGTCTCTCCACCCCCTCAGGGGCATACTGCATGAGTTTTACAAGTTTCATTATCTTCTACCACAATCAAAATGAATAAAACCTCAAAGGAGTAATTTCTAAACAATAAAAAGCACATACCAGCTTCTCATAAAAATGTTATTACTTACACAATCACATTAATATTTCAAAGAAGGCCCTTTTTAACAGGGTCTGCACAAACCACAAGATGACTGAAATGCTCAAGAGACCTGACCCACTCATGGGCTCAGGAGACTGTTCTGGGATGCCTCCTGGCTTTGGTACTCTGGGGGTTTCCCTCTAACCTCAGGACGGTATCTTATGGGCATCTGAAGCATTACAAATACACTTCCAGGAAGTTTAAGCACAAACCCATCCAAAGCTAATGTAATGAAATGAATGTAATGAAATGAAAACATTTGTCTTGTTAAGTCACATAACACTCACCTGCACCTGCTGCCTCTGTGTGTTCAGCATATTTGGGTCAATTGACAAGGGCCCAAGAACACTGACCATCAGTTCTTTTTCCACAAGCCACTGTTTTAACTGAGCTTCTACAGTCTGGAACTGGGTTAGATTATTAGAGGATTCTTCCAGTTTTTGTTGTCTATCAACTGTTAACTGATTGAGTTCTTGCCACTTAGAATCTAAAAGAAAAAGATAAAAGATGAAACTGGTGTTTGGTATTTATACATCTGACATCACTGTCTATGTGAATACCGCAGGATATGACTCAAAATGATACATAATGGCTATCATTCGGTCTTTGTAACGCTTCTTACATAGTTGATTAAAGCCTAATCTAAGAGTTAATTGCATTTAATGATACAGATTTTATGGTCCTGGAGCTGTGTGTCAACTGAAGTAAAGAAAAATTTGAATCTGACCTTAGAAGAGTATGTAGAATATGGAATATTCCTTAAGGCAAACAGGATCCAGAGATCCCGCATTTCTTCTAGAAGTCCTATAGAGTCTCTCTGTTCAACTGTAACTGACCTACTAGAACAGGGAACATTAATCCTTTCTTTGAATAGCAAATCTTCAATGATCAGTGCTGGACAAATGACTCCCACATTTGTATATCTACGCCAATTCTCTTTTATTCAAATCACACACAACGACAACCAGCTGCTTGGAAGTCACAACACTAGGAAATCTCATCAACCCTTTAAACACTAAAAAACAACTTTTTCTTCCTATCAAAACTGGTGGATTCTTCTGATATTTAGAGTTCTTTGAAAGGTTACTCTCTTTTCCATATCACTGAAGTTCAATAATTCAGAATGTTCTTTCATGATTCTCTTAACTCCTGTCTTCTTGATCATAAAACCTTAAACCTCTCCCTTACATTCCTAATGCCCTAACTCCATTTTGGTCCTCCTCATGTTTTGCCTAGACTAGTAGTTCTCAAACTTCAGCTGCACTAGAATCACTAGGAGGGATTAACACAGGTTGCTGGGCCCCATCTCCCAAATTTCTGACTCAATAGGGCTGAAGAGGGGCCTGAAATTTTGGCATTTCTAGAAAGTTCCCAGGCAATACTGATGCTGTTGCTCCCCAGAGCACACCTTTGAGAACTATCATCCTAGACCACTAGCCTTCTCACTGGTTTTCTTGTAATTAATTAGTGGTTCTCAGCTGCAACCCATCTGGTTCTAAAATAACTTCCTTAAAACAATCACATAAATATGTCACTTCTGTGATATCCTTTAATAACTAAGTTGTCACCACCTAGATGATAAAATATGAAGACTTCTGCCTCACATTCAAGACCTCCCACAAAACTGACCCTAGTCTAGTAATAATTAGAGGGTCTGGATCCTGAGATGAAAACTCTGAGTCCTATTGATCTTACAATTATCATCCAAACAGGCTTCTGCTTACACCAGCCCTTACCTAACACACTCTACTCCCTGTGTATCCCAGCTCAATCTTTCTGTCACAATTCCACTAGACCTTATGCCTCTGCTAGGAATCCTTTCCTGCTGTTCCCACCCTTAAGACAGTTTGTTTCCTGAAGCCAAGAGTTACTGACCAGCATTTGAACGTATTAGTCACTCAATAAATAGACACTGATGAGCGTGATTAGTTGATCAGACAGATTTTGTTCATGTAGCACAATACAATAAATGGCTGCTCTTAATACAACCAATCTGTTAAAATGTACCTAATGACATCATTCTATATGGTATGTTAAACACAATCTAACAACAACAACAACATAATCAAACACAATCTAACAACAAAAATAATGCAATTCAAAAAGTGAACTGAGAGGGAGAAATACCAAAATCTTATCAGGAAGCTTTTTTGGAATACTCTTTACTCTCAACTCCTATTCTAAAATGCCTTGATAATACTGTCCCCCAAGTAATTCTGATTATCCCAGGTGAGAGACACTAAATTAGGGACAAATAAATTATAATGCAACAGGAGTCTATGGTTGGATTAACTATACCTTTGAACATTAAGTTTCCTTAGGATAACCTTTTTTCAAACTAAAACATACTTACTGATTTTTAAATTTATCATAGCATATCTGACTCTAATGGAAGGACAATATTTAGCTCAACATAATGGAACAATTGATAGTAAAATAACCATTATAATCATAGTGAACATGCAGCACCTATTATGTGCCAGGTACAGTCTGTCTGAGCTGTACACACATTAACTCGTTGAATTTTCCAAACAATATTATGAAGTAGGGAAAATTAGTACCATTGTCTTACATGCATTTCCCTTATCATCATAATGGGAAGGGGTGATAAACTAAAAGGACTTGTGAAGAGAATTCCGTGTTTATGAGAAACAGTTTCTACAGGGACAGGATGGAGATGAGAGGATAACTCTGGATGAAGAATGGAAACTAGCAGACTTCTGTGGGGAGCTACTTTTTAACCCTTTCCCTGACTGGGGAAGAGAAGAACATAAAGCAGGGGTCAAATGAGTCCCCTGAAGGAACTCCAGGGAGGAGAAGGGAGCTTACCTTTTCCAGACAAAAAAAAAAATACATTTAAAAGGAATATTTGAATTTATATAACATTTATATATATATAAATATAATAAATATAATAATATATATAAATATATATAAATATAATAAAATATAATAAAGCATAAAAAATAGAAACACTAAAAATCAAGTAAAAAAAATGACAAAAACATGGTACTTGATGCACAGCATTTTATTCACTAGTATCTACACTCTTCATAAAAATAAATTTTGTTATGGTGTTTAGCAAGATAAATACAGGATATGCCCAGTTCCAGCATACTATAATTTGAAACGACATTTTAAAATTTGCAACATCTTAAACATGAAACATTAAAGCAAATTCAAAAATAACTGAGGCTGGTGGATATACTTTTTTCTGATAAAGTCTATGATTTAAAAATGATCGTGCTCCTCATTCACAGACTCTGGGATAAGTGACGTGACATACCAATTTCCGTCAGCATCTGTTTCCACTTGGGGGCCTCAGGAGTGTCTGGGTTCTCCTCCAAGAGCTCTGTCAATTTGTCTTTCAATTCCTGTACCTTGTTTACATTTTGCTTCAGTTCAGCTTCAAATGTCTAAACAAGGGAAAGAAAACTCTGTTACAGTATGTCAACATCAGAAGACAAAAACACAATTGTAGGGACGCCTGGGTGGCTCAGTGGGTTAAGCCGCTGCCTTCGGCTCAGGTCATGATCCCAGCGTCCTGGGATCGAGTCCCGCATCGGGCTCCTTGCTCGGCAGGGAGCCTGCTTCTCCCTCTGCCTCTGCCTGCCACTCTATCTGCTTGTGCTCACTCTCGCGCGCTCTCTCTCTCTCTCTGACAAATAAATAAATAAAATCTTTAAAAAAAAAAAAAAAAAAAAACACAATTGTAATAGATGAAAATATCCACTGTGAGTGCTGAAGTGGGTGAGGGACCAGAATTCAGCAGTTAACTATTCTCCTCTCCTTTTCTGAAGCAGCCTTCAACCATCTGATAAAGGAATCCGAAAGAGGAACGCTACAGCTAGGGAGAAAATGACTCTAGTCCCCAGGAGCTGGGAAGAACTTCCTGTTATTCTTAAACAAATCCCTCTGGAAAAAAGGAAGATGACATCAATAATATTGTAACTGATAAGAAAATCAGTCTTGATAAAGGCTGCCAGCTTTGAGAATCTACTAGTGGATCAACACTGTCCTCGGTAACATGCTATAGAATTCAAACATAGACATTTTTGCCACTGATGTCACAGTGTAAAATCATTTCCCCAATCCTGACAGATGGAGAAAGAAATGCCACCTATTAAACAAAGGGAAAGTGTGAGCTATCCTATTTTATGTTGGACAGAACAAATCCCTAATATACCTAAATAAATATTTTGCAATAGCTGACTGGTTAAAATCCAAGACTTAACCTGATTTAAAGGTGGCAAAGTTGGGACGCCTGGCTGGCTCAGCTGATGGAGCATGCGACTCTGGAACTCAAGAGTTGTGGGTTCAAGCCCCACATCGGGTGTAGAGATTACTTAAAAATAAAACTGTTTAAAAAATAAAGGTGGCAAAGGTGCTTATGCCCCAATAGTTCGCTCATCTTATAATGTATGTATGTGTAAAACAGGTGACTGTGATCACCACTTTCTACAGAAAGGCACATTAAACAAAACTGGCAAGTTATTTGCTGAAGGTTACAGACTGGGAATCAAAACATGGGTCCTGACGCCCAGGCCTCCAATCTGGATGCTTGTCTGTTCTCTTTTGGGTCTTCAGGAAATGTATCTGCAGGATGTACCTTATTCTGCTCCACCTGTGTCTTCACGGCCTCTGTGTCTGTTGGTGTCGGTGCCTGGTGCCACTTGGCCGCAGTCTTGTTCATCTTCTGGAGCCACTGCATCATGGAGCTGGATTCTTCCTGAGCCTTTTGCAATTTGGAGAGTTTAGTATTCAGTTCAGCTATTTTGTCCTTAAGTAAAAGGCCAAGATCTTCATAACCATGGCTTATGTCAGTCATATCCTTTTTAATGGACGTCAATCCTTAAAGTAATAAAATAAAATAAGATAAAATCAGACACATACATTTTCAGGATGTTTAGAGGAAAGCTCTAGAAATATAAGTTTGCTTTACATGATATTCCCTTCTATTTTGTCCATATTAAGCCTACTATGATGAAGTCCTAGATTTTTTAGAACTAAAGGGTTAAAAACCCTAAAAGAATTTTTAGAACTACCTTATAATGCTATTTAATAACTAACGATTTAGGTACATTGTATAATACAAGTGAAATGAAAAAGAGATTTTTTCAATGGAATGGGAAACCAAAGCCATAATGCTATGTATTAAGTCCTTAGGAATCAAACTCAAGAAAATACCTCAAAGAATATTATTCCAAGTGACAAAATATCTTAGATTATTTAACGAAAAAGAAGAAAACACAACCAAATACCAAACCAAACTACCAGATTTCACTAACTTGAGATGAACAAAATTACATGGAATGTGATATAAATATACTTACAAGGAAATGACTATGATATAAAATAATATCATGTTAGGGGCCCCTGGGTGGCTCAGTCAGTTAAGTGTCTGATTCTCAATTTCAGCTCACTTGGGGTCATGGGGTCAAGCCCCGAGACAGGCTCCACAGTTGGAGCCTTCCCCCAATCACACTTTCTCTCCTTCTCTTTTAAAAAATAAGTATCATTTTAATTCAAAGTTGACATTTCAATATAACTACTGTTCATCTCTAAAAAGATTTTCTCTCAAAAAAAAAATCAAAGCAAAACCAAAGTTACTGTAATCGTAAGCACTTAAGTTACTATTCACCTTTATTTGACAAAATATCTTGAGTATCTGTGGCTGTTCCTTCACCATTTAATATTACTCCACCTGTAAAAATAGTAACACTGAAGTAGTCATAGATTTCTATAGTATTTCTACACATTAATAGTAAGTAGATGGCATTAAGTCAAACCCCATAAACAGTAATCATTTAAAAATGTTATTACTATTTGAAAATATAAAATATTCATTCAATGTCTAGATCAAACAAAGGTCCATTATTTATAGATCCTTTCTGGTATATAACATTCATTCTTTTTTTTTTTTTTAACTTACTTCCCAGTTTAATACACTTATACACAGCACTGATACACTGTGGGACTGTGAAAAAACTTAATTTGAATATAATTATATAAAATGGCTAGATATGACTCATTTATATAGATTTTAGGCAGCAAATTTAGCAATACGTATTTAGTTCCATGAATACTTTTGAGGGTTTCCTCTAACTTAAGCACTCTATTACCACAGGGAATTCAAAGATGAAAAAAGAACCTAAAGGACGTAACATTCATTCTTAAAGTGGTTATGTGATCACCTTAAACATTAGAGTTTAATAAGTTTAGATTATATACATTCATCATTAAGTATTAAACAATTTTGTGATAGCACTGTTTTACTGCTACTTTTAATAATAAAGTCCTTGAAGCTCAAAAGTTGCTCACTGTGCATGTTGCATGAAGCATAAATGACTGACAAACCCTTACTTAAGGATTTGAAAATTGTCTGGTACAGTTACACAGTGTTATTATGGGTTTAATGGAAGCAGAAAGAGGTACAAAGACATGAAAAGTTAAAAGGAAAACAAACAAACAAATCCTATTACTAAAACCCACATTCTGTCAACACAGAGAAGAGCACAGTGGTTAGGAATGCATGGACTTTGGTCTATGACTCACCTGAATTTAAATCCCAGCCCCACTAATTACTAGCTGAGTGACTGGACAAATTAATCACCACCCCACCACACTGGTGGGGATAATAATACCTAACTTTTGAGGCCACCATGGTGTATTAAAGACAAGTTAACTGATGGCCTAGCAAATAGGAACTACTCAGTAAGTAGTAATTAGTACTTCTCTTTAATTATATAAACATCTAGCCTTGGCTCCTTTTTCATAAGCAGAATATTAAAATACTCAATTAGACTTTATCAGGCAAGTATGCATTGGCTGCTGATCTACAAAACACAAAGACATTTCCTAAAACTAGCCACAGGAGGACAAGTTTAAAACAGGAATATTTAAATATCTGAATCTTAATCTGAGTTTTGTCTCTTAAAAAAAAAATCACAGACATTGGCATTTCAGTTGAAAGTGAAAATATCCTGTGTCAAGACTGATTCCTACTGTGCTTGGTAGTTATCAAGAGTAGGAGGAGGGGCGCCTGGGTGGCTCAGTGGGTTAAGCCTCTGCCTTCGGTTCAGGTCATGATCTCGGGGTCCTGGGATCGAGCCCTGCATTGAGCTCTCTGCTCAGCGGGAAGCCTGCTTCCTCCCCCCTTTCTCTCTGTGCCTGCCTCTCTGCCTACTTGTGACCTCTGTCTGTCAAATAAATGAATAAAATCTTAAAAAAAAAAAAAGAGTACGAGGAAAAACAGAAACAAAAACCTTACTTATTGCAAATATAAAGTGGACATGAAGAACTAAAAACACAATAGAATTCCTTTTCTTTAAAAAACAAAACACTTGACATTTCAGGAAATCTGATTAGAAGAGAAAGGAGAGATCATCACGCCATATAACTATAAGTACACTCTGAAATGGGGTTAATAGAGCGGAATAAACGGTTGCAAGAGGCCCAGCTGCAACACCAGTCTCACAATAGGAGCAGATGGGGGGCTGGGCAGAGCAGAAAAACCACAGAGGGTACTCAGAGACTCTCAGAATAAAGATATGTGATCTGCCTCCATCTATTCTTGGGGAAAAAAAACCCTGATATTAACAATATAAATGTTTTAAACTTAAAAACATATCCACATCTTAAATTAATTTTAAAGAATCATTACTAATTCCCCACTTCTGTTGAGTGGCTCAATCGTGCCAATTTAGATACGCTGGCTAACCCATTACATAATTTTCTTCGGGAACACTGTAGAAAATAAGATAGATGGAGATTTTTCAAAATACAGAGATCTACTCTACAGAAAAGAGCTGCTTCCTTCCCTCACCTCTCTTTTCCCAGGAAACTATACTCATTGATCAAATATTTCAAGTAGAATTTGAGTTATCCCCATTAATTAAAGTAGAAAACAAATTGGAATCTGATCTTTCCTCTTCCCCAATACAATCCTCCTTATTCTTACTCATTAATCTGGCTACATTTTAACTGTAGTCTCTATGAAAATGAACCATAAGAGGGATTTGAAATTTGATTAGTACAGATACTATTCCATGTGCAGAACATACTTTTAGGGCATGTATAGATGCCATCTTTCTTGTCACTCTCCCTTTGTATTTCTGAGCTTATTTTATGCATTAGTTTAAAAATTAAGGGAAACAGAAGTAACATGGGTGGACCCAGTTCTTAGAGAGTCTGCCATGGATATAAACAAAACACATACCTGATTTCACGGCTGCTATTGCCTTCGCGGGGGTAGTCACAGCGCTGATTAGGTTACATAGTGAGATCCCACTGTTGTTTACTTTCTGAATCTCTGGTGTTTTTAAACTCCACTGTTCTTGTAATTTCTTGAGATATAAAAACACAGTATATTTCAATCTTCATAATATTTTCAAAGTTACACATTATAATTCAATTTCTTAAACATATCTTAAAGCAATGATGACTGTGGGTCCTGATTTGTGGGGGAGTGGATAGAAAAAAAGGCACCATGCCTAGGTGTTCCAACAGCCCAGGTGACTGTTAACACTGTTAGCGGTGAGAAGTGAGGTATGGTCCATCCGACGTTCTGCTCCTAGCCACAATGCAAGTCAGGCTATATCTAGCTGCCATGGGTTCCAAACTAACTGTCAACTGTCAGTCTGAAAACTGCACTTGGTACCAGCCAAGTTACAAGAAGAAATGTGCCAGAAATGATTTACAAAAAAAAAAGGGAGAATTCAGAATTCTATTTAGTAGTGAGTTTTAATCCCCAAAACTTCAATGAATTTTTAACAGCATGCATCTCCATAAGGTTAGAGTGGGAGAACTACCATAACTGGTCATAAGTTTTATGATTTGGATCAGATGACAAAAGACTTGTGCAGTATCTGTACTAGAGATTCAAACAACTTCTACCTTCAAATACTGGTTCCAGGGATATATTGGAGCTAGAGTTAAATACTGACTTGAAGAGCAGGATCCTTTACATAACACTATGAGAAGCGGTATTAAAAAACTCACTGAAAGTAAGTAGAAGATTTGGTGGGGAAGAAAACTTGGGTACTAAAACGGTCAGCAACTCACTAACACATCTCTCTTAAAAAGCAGATTAACTCAAAATGTGTGCTCTTCCTCCAAAGGATTAAAGCTATGTCATGATTTCCAAATATAACCAAAATATACCAAAGATAAAATGGGGATCTAACTTGTTAGATAAAAGGAAAGAACTAATAGTCTTTTCACCTCCCATTACTCACATGGACAAAGAAGAAATTAGTAGTAGATAACAATTCACCTTAGTTTCTTCTAAAGATTTTCCTAAATCCTCTGAACCAAAAGAAGGCTGCACAATGGGAACTCTTTCCGTTGTTTCTTTTATCCATGACTTCAGTGACTTAACAAGGACTTGGAAAGCATCCATCTGTTCTTGACAAGAAGATACAGCTTCTTTTCTAGATAACAAAAATTATTGAAGAATTTAAGCCACGGAAAGAAAATACTCCAAAGGAATAATTACTAGTAAATAAATTTATTATTCCTGTATCAGGCCCTACAATTAAGGGGAAAAAAACTTCCCCCGTGCAAACTCTAACCCTGGATAAAAGGAGGAGATGTCTCATAGGTGCCAAGTGAAATCAACTACTTTACTCCTTAGGCACAATCCATAGAAAAAGATAGGAGCAGTTAAGAAATCCATAACCCATACAGTAATGGCACTTTATAATGCTACATAAACTCTAGGGCTATATAAACAGTTTTAACGTTATTTAGATTCAGCAAGCTTTGATCTGTCCACTTTACATGGTACTTAGTGCCAGCAGGCACAGAACCAGCAGGGAAACCCTTACAAATCACCAATCTGAGGAAACCATGCCGCCACCTAGTGGTTTCTACACGACACTACAGTCACTTTAGCAGATGGATAAACCAGGTGCTTCAGAGAGTCCAGATTGAACTCTTCAAACATGAGGTGAGACCAAGGGACTAAAGAATGTTAATGACTGCCTCCCCGACAGATACTCAGAAAACTCCACAGTGAACCATATAGATCTTTCTGCATATTAAGCACCATGGAGGGAGGGCACATGCCCAGCACATGAACAGCTATGAGGACAGATCCATTTGGTATGTGGGTGGCATGTGAGTGGCATGTGGATGGCGTGTGCCCATGTGCACATGTGTGGAATACTGGCACAGAAGGGTCCACTGCAGCTGGACTAATTACTGATGACTACGTGGTTTTAAAACTGGACCCTTCTGGAAAAAGAAACCACCTAGAGTTCACCTCAAAAAACCAAGAATATACTTTCCATGTGATGTGAGTTAAATATTATGTGACAAGATGAAAAACGTAGCTCTGCAAATAGTAGTAGTAGAGAGTGCTCAAAAGTTTTAGGCAGAGCATTCTGAAGAAATAAAGAAGAGTTAAAAGATAACTATTTTCTATCTTTGTGGGGTCTATAGAAAAACCAGAGGTATACTCTACACTAATATGAGATCAGAAAGAGAGAAGTCTAGTTACAAGATTTATCCCTGTACTGCTTTTTAGCTCAACTTAGGTGCATTCTCTTGTTTCTTATCTTGCTTGTTCACGGAGTCATTTCTTACCTACAATTCTTTAAAAATAAACTATTTTACCAAAAAAAGAAAAAAGCCATCAGAAACTATATTGAAATTGAGCAGTTTCTGAATTAAGCCCCAAAAGCAATGAACCATGAGCTATCTCTCAAGGTTATTTCTGCTTTTGCAAATAAAACTGTGGTATTTGCCAAAGGCTTCAGAGACCACATTGATTTTAAATTATTTTCAGTAATACATGACCACCACTATTTTCTACATAATGCTTTCTACTTTAAGGTTAGACTTATCAAATTCCCATCCTAAATATTCTAACAAAAATGCACTCAATTTTAAATAGGAAAATAATATCAATATAAAAGCACTTACAAAGTAGCCCTATGCTTATTCCCAAGTTTTGTCTCGGGTTTCTACATGAGCAAATAAAAATATTTCATTCTTTAAGTTTTAAGTAGATTAAAATCCAATTTCTTAAGTGGTGCTTACTTTTCTTTGATGGTATCCTCCATTTCCTTGAACTTCTTTGACAAATTATTTGTTTTTTCAAAAACCAGAGCCTTATCACCTGGCAAGCCATGGCTAGATATCTCCTTCAAAACATTGTGTAAAACTTCAAGATCTTTCTTGTGTTCTAAGAATTCAGCAGTTGATTCCTACAAAGCATATGGATTTTTAATCAATTTAAGATGTTGTTAGATCTCCGGATGGCATTCTATCAAGAGGTACGTATGGGACTGGAATGGCTCTACTCAGAATTTCACAGAATGATCCTGCCTATGGTCAGTACTCTAAATATAAATAGACAGGCAGTTAGGCTGTCTGGAAGAGAACACAAGTAAATTTATTTAATTTAAAAATCCATTATAGTCTGTCTCTTTGTGGGTTCTGGCATATGATACTTACATCATCTTTAATATGTGGGAAGTATATGTATGAGAAACAGTGTTCATTTCTAATCAATGAGCAAAGGCTTTAAGGAGAAGATGGGGTTTGGGATTTTTGAAGTAGACAGGACAGATTGGTAAGGACAGATCCTTACCAATCCATCAGCAATGAAAATGATGACTGCTAATTTCATGTTGCTAATATATGTGTGAGCTGGTCTGAAGTGTTCACACGCTTATCAACCTCGTGAATATTAAGGAAGACATACCTGCATATACTGAGACAATTCAGTAACATCTTTTCCTGGCACATCAGCCTCAGTGAGAGCCTGAGTTTTTGTTTCTAAAAATGTCTGGAGCTTTTCTGAGAGGTTCTCGAAGAGTTCTACTTTGGTTTTTAGCTCTTCCATTTTGGCAAGTTTTTCTTTCTGTTTACGACTTGCTTCTGAAAATCGGACGGACAAGTCCTTCATCTTGGCTTGCAGTGAGGAGGCAGTGGATGGATCTGTGGTTTCCATGAATTTCTTCAGTTTTTCGTTCATGGCATTTATGCTGCTCTGACGACCTGCGATATCCTGTTCCAACATCTGAAATGAACCAAATATTGCGTATGTTTTATCATGATGTTTACAAACAATGTCAGAGAGTGTTAAAAAATGACCATACATAACCACATGAACTCGAACAACCTGTGACTAAGGAAAGTTAAGTGTTGGGGCTGACCAACAAGTTTGATCTGTCCCTTGAAGAACACCATCCCAAATCTGTTCAGGACAGAGTGGTGAACAGCTGTTGAGTTGCCCAGGCAAGGCAGGAGACCGCTGCTACTCCGCAACCCTTGGGATTTAACGGAGCCTAGGGATTATCCAAAGTCCTAATTTTTAAAAGGCTAGACAACACCAGGATTGATCTGATTAACCTCGTGTGCAGCTGGCTGAAGCTGTGATAAACAAGATAGGCCTCGGGTATGTGTAAGCCCCTGTAATGAGTTACATTTGTGAGAAAGTATACGAAGCGCTCTACTTCTTCAGAAAAAAACTGTTTCACACCTGTGTCTCAGAGCAAGCACTGCTTTTCACAGTTATATTCAGGAAACTTTCTTTTCTTTATCCTTAAGTTTTATCTTCAATTTACCTATCCTTGGGACTATTTAAGTGGGTTTTTTTTTTTTTTTTTCCCATCTAAGTTTTTTTTTTTCTTGTCAAATGTCACTTACAATGTTTTTACTGATGACATCCTGGAGAGCAGCAGAGTTCAAGGGCACTTGACCTTGCTCTTTCAGAGAACTTTCCACACTTCCCATCCAGTCCAGCATTTCATCCAGGCCATCCTGCACACTCAGTGAGCGGGTCAAGGTTATCTGCAGTTTTTCATTTCGTTCGTTAACAGACTTGGATAGATCATCATATCTCCCAACAATGTCATCTAGCCCAGAAAGATCAGAAAGTGTTAACCACAAAGCTCTCTTTGCCCTATTCCTTTTCAAAAATACACTATGGTGGTTCACACAATTTCCACACCGAAACTGGAAAAGAAAAGAGGTTTAAATGATAAATTCAAAATGTGAAATCAGGGCACCATCTAAAACCTTAACAAAAGAAGAAAAAGATCTCAGTGAAATATAAAAAAACTGAAGTATTTTTTAAAAAAATAGTTGATATATATGTCATCTGCATTCAAAAAGAGCTTTTGGGATGCACAAACATTTGAAGTGCCCCAGAAAAATGTTAACAGTCTAAATAGCCAATCTTTGGTTCTCAATCTGAAATTTTCAAATTAGCCATACTATTAGATAACTACATGGAAAAAAGAAAAAGGTGACACTCATACACAGCTATTCTCAAGGACAATACACAGCTATAAAAAAATTTATCAAGAATTAACCTTTACATATAAAAATTATCTCTCCCTTGTGCATAGCATACATTCTCCCTTCCTTCCTCTCTCTCTCTCTCTCTCTCTCTCTCACACACACACACACACACACACACACTTAAGCTTTTGTCAACCTTCACAGTCTAAGTAAAGTACTTGAAAGCACAGAAACTGACAGATGCACACATGAGAAAACAGATATATGCAATGCGAAAAGAGATCAGGAAAATCCACTGAAAATAAGAAAGGTTGAGATTACGATTCTAAAATATAAATCGAATTTATGTGAAAAGTTTAACAGTAGACCAAAGGGAAAAATAAATAAGGTTACTAGGTTGACCTATCTCAGATAAGCTTAACCTTATTTTCAATTCTGAAGACTAAAGATGTTAAACATGCTGTTCTAGCCTAGTTTTCACTCAAACTCAAAGTTCTATACTTTAACATCCCACATTTTATACTGCAGACCTATGAGAAGTTCAAAGAACAGTGATTTTTCATGTATTAATCTCTCTCTGGAATAAATCATCAATTTATTACTTATTGTCCAATAATTTGAAAAACATTTTAATTATTTATGAATGCTTTAGTTGGATATATTGTATGTTCAGTTAGAAAAGTCTTGATGGCAAAGACCTGGGAATGAAAACATTTTACATGCTGTGTTTGGCCCATGGAACACAATCTATAGAAGCAGTATTGCCTTTGATTATTTTAGTGTATCATGAAAAAACACTTTGACAAATTTTCACTGAATTGAGAGGTTAAGATAAGCTAATTTAAGGCAATAGTCAATGGTCCTGTCAGAGAACAGGATGAAGCCCGGGAAAGTGCAGAGCAGGGCGGGGGGCAGGGGGTCTCAGGGGGATGCACTGAATATGCTATCAGCAGACAAAACAAGAAGCAAGTTCAAACATAAGCCCTTCTTTGGAAGTCACAGAGAAAATACTCTGAATTACAGGAGGTGACGGATTAGCAGGTGAGCTGCCTCTCAGGTGGGCAATTCTGCTGTGTCGGAGGGTAAATCAGCAATCTAGTTAGCCTTGAGCAGTGCTTTCCCAAGCAAAGTCAGCTATTGTATTGAATGGGCACGTTTTGAGTGTTATTATTTTTGTATTTCTTAGTGATGAAATATTGTCACTGAAATGAATTCTTGCTTTTACTAAGTAAATATTATTTTAGAAGAAAAAGGTACAAAATGAAATCTACTCTAAGACTTATTTTTTTAAGTGGTTGGTTTTCTTAGAGGTCAGATAGAGCTTAGAGAAATTCCTTTATATCTTAAATGTATTTTCACATAGTCCTAGAAACTTATGCCAGATAGAAGTTTTAAAGTCTTAATGTATAACATGTGGATTTTTAAGCTAATAAAAACCAAACTATGTACCCTTAACAATGGGGAAAATGCCTCTTCAAATAACAGAAGCACATATATATAATAGTCTTTCTTTTCCTCCAAATCTCCATGCCCAAGTCCTTATAGCAGTGGTTGCCAATGTGGGATGACAAGATGGTGCTGTGGGATGACAAGATGGTGCTCTGGGATGAGGAACAAAATACTAGAACTTCCATTCATATTTTTATCTTATGCTTTTAAATGATATGTTCTTGTGCTTTATAATTATAACACACATAATGTGATAAGATAGTGTATCTTATAAATACACAGGTATACATGGGGTATATGCTGAAATTCTTTTGACAGGGATGCATGCTCAAAAAAGTTAAGCCATCTTTAAGAATGAAAAAAAAGTTTTCCTTCCATAGACTGGTTTTAGAAAAGGAAAGTTTCATCCTTCTCCTCATCTAAAATTTCTGCTCAGATTTTAACTCACACATGCTTTGGTGTGAAACACAGGTCCAATCATCTTACAAAACTTATGCTTTTCATTTCATGCACAGAAATATGTAACAACCTTGAACTACACATTAGCAAACCAACACAGAAAATACAATAAGGCAGCAAACATTTATTGATACCCCACTGTGCATTTAATCTAAACTAAATACGATCACGCAATAGCTCTTCTCTGAAGAGATAGCGACTCTAACGTGAGAGGGCACAGAAGCGCCAGTATGAATGGGTACAAGTTTTTAGTATCAAAGGAGAAAACGGGGGTAATCAGAGCCCTGTGAGACCACTCAAAGGCTTCCAGAAAATGGAGAGGTGGAAACACTGTTTTAAAGCGCATCTTTTAATGCCAGCCATGCTTCTGCTTTCTATAAAGACCCCTCAGTGTGTCTCTTTTGGCCATAGGTTTAGAGTCTAACTCTGCCCAATGCCTTCCATCAAAAGAATCTCATGTCCTGCTTTCTGTGGTAAGTATTACATAAAGGAAGAGTTTTTGTTACATTTTTTAAATATAACAATAAACTTTAAACAAACTCTTCTCAAAATATACAACCCCCATTCCCAATATACCTGCCCCAAAAGGCACGCCTCCTCCGAGACGGGGAAGCGCCATTTCGTAGGGAAAGGGCAGAAGCAACACCATATGCACCCATGAATGTGTTCTCCGTATCGGAACACCTTCATGGAGAATCTACCTGTGAGAAAGCAAGCAGGGAAATAAACACTTACCCAGTGTTTTTTGGATGTCATTCTTGGCTGGAAGCAGAGATCCTCTAGCATCTAAAAGCACTTCAGCTGTTTTCTTCAGTTTCTCTACAGCAACCTGCTGACTTGATATCTGTCCTTGCAGAGCCTGGAGGATCGAATGCTTCAGTTATACTCAATAGTACTAAATGATGTATTTCTAATAAAAAAATTATATTTAGTACAATAAGGTAATATTGGACATAGAAATCTTTTCATCATTATCAACTCACTCCAGAGTCCTTAGAAAAAGGCCAGTTATAAAGTGGTGTTAGCAAAGTCATCAACCAGTGAGGACAATATAAATTCAGTCTTGAAATAAACCACTGAGCATACGTTCATGACTCGTGGCCTGGTTCTTAATCTTGCAACCCTCTCCCCGTAACCTGAGATCTCCCTTCATCCCCCTTTCAGGGTATCATCCTGGACGAGACCCTGAGTAACCACCAGAAAACAAAAACCAAAACCAATCTAACGCCAAAAACAAAACAAAACCACCTTTAGGACTATTTCTGACTCCAGGTAAGGAAATAAGGATTTCCGTTTCTATACAAAGTCATATTTATTTGTTTATTCAACAAAAGTTACTTAACATCTAACAAATTCAAAAAAATCTTGCTGCATTTGTGAAAATACAAAAGCAAACAGATCCCATAGGGATCTTATAGTCTATATCATGAACTCGTTAAGTGCTACTGGAAGCCGAGAGGGGGCTAAGTGCAGAGGGAAATGAGGACCGTTCTCCATGCTGGTGGTACTGGGCCGGGTCCTGAGGAAAGTATGGAAGGTAGAAGTAGGGAGGACATGTCCCTGCAGAGTGGACAAAGATAGGGACTGAAATATCACAGGACAGGGGAGGGTCCCAACCAGGTAGAAAGTGTGTCTGGGTGAATAAAGAGCAACAGGACTGCCCAGCTAAAGAGGCTACATTTCATCCTGCAGCAATGGAGAGTCATTCAAGGATTTTGAGTATGGGTTGACATGCTCAGAGCTGTGTTAAGAGAAGGCTAAATTAGTAGCACTGTGCGGGATATATGACATGAGTAAGAAATGAAGCAGAGAAGCCAGCTGGAGCAATTTCAGCAGGAACAAAGGAGAGAGCCCCTTCTGGGCTGGGAAGACAAAACTGGTTACAAAGTTGGGGAGGGTCTCTTGATAACTGGTTATCTAAAGCTGTGCTTTGAGATACGGTAGCCACAAACTACATGGAACTTTCAAAATTTAAAATTAATTGAAATCTAATAAAATTCAAAATTCAATTCTTCAGTTGTCCTAACCATATTTCAAGTCCTAAGTAGCCAAGGGTAATGAGTGGTTACCATGTTGGGAGACATTACAGAACATTTCCATGGTCACAGAATGTTCTACGGGATATCACTGCTTAAGGAGGCAGGAATAAGGAAAAAGAAGAGACAAGAGAAGCATCCAGTGTTTTTGAGCCTAGGCAATTAATGGAATTCATAAGCAAAAGTGGGAGCAAGTTTAGGAGCAAAGGAGAGTTTAGGAATTTATGACTTCAAAGAGCTCTTAGGATCCTCACATAGAAAGAAAGAAAGAAACAAACAAACAAAAAAAACCAGTGAAGCTGGAAGTGGAGTGACTCTGAACACAGGCTAGAACTAGACATAAAGTTCTGGAAGCCAAGCCCCACAGCAAGACCGCCAGAGCTACAGGCACTAGAGGAGGAGGCCAGGCGGAATCACGAACAGATCTTAGATGTATGTGCTGAGAAGGAAAAAAGAACAGATGTCATCAAGGAGGTGGAAATGGGACTGGAATAATTCTGTCCCCAGAGGTTACAGGAAGAGAGAAAATGGAAAAGGTTAACAATGCTGTTTGCTTCAGAAAGGATACCGGAACTCTGATTTGCTGAGTTGAGGCCCCCACTTCTCTAAGTACATGTGGCTCAACAGTTGCAACAAAGAGACAAGAGGTAGAGGCAAGAACCACAGAGTCTTCCAGAAGTCTGGCCCCGCATTCCTAACACCTCTGACGTATCTGTGTCCAAAAGGGCTGTCCAGCCAGGCCCCGTGCCTGGCTTTCACTTCACTGGAGCTACTCAAGCTCCTCTTTCAGTCTCACACTCGGATTTCAAATTCAAATTCCCATATGCCCAACTGTAGATGAACTCATCCCTGGCCATGGGCCCAGGTTTCCAACTGCCTCTTGATCATTTCCATCTGGGTGTAAACAGTCACCTCCAACTCAAAACACTGAATCTGAACTCATTATCTCACCCCTACACCTGCACTCTTCCTGCTGTTGCAGCTCATGACCCAAGCAGTAACTCTGAGCTTCCTTCTGGACGCCCCCTCAACCCTCCTTTCCACATGCAAATCCACCACCGGGCCCTGACAATTTTACCTGCTTAACGTGTTTTTAAAAGCAGGCTGCTGCTCTATATTTCTGGATCATTGCACTCAACTGAGAAAAGCATCCTACCAAGCCCCCTGCCTCCAATCTCTTCCCCGACATAGCTTCCCCCAGTGTGTTCTACCTACAATACATTCCTGGACCATATCGCTCCCCTCTTTAAAATCTTTCAGTAGCTTCCCATTGCTGTTATAGAAACAACAGACTTGAGCCTACAATGACATCTATCCCTTAATTCTACCTTCAATCTCATCTTCTTCCACCTCCTGTTCCAGAAATGTCCAAAATCACAGTTGTTTCATAACTATTTGCTCAAGCTAGACCCAACATTTAACATCTCTATATGTTAAACTTCTCACACTACCTATCCCCCCATCATCCTGAGCCTGGCTCTTGTTCACCCATTAACAGTCAGCTGGGAAACCCCCTAACTTTCTCTTTACCACTAGTTTGCAAAAACTCCCCCCAGGGGCTCCCATAAGTACCCTGTGAATAATACTGGATTTGTCTCTTAAACTAACTTCTTTGAGAACAAGGAATTTATTCTACTCCACTTCCTTTTCACTGCCCTGCACAGTGCTTGGGACACTGAAAAAGTTTCTAAAAGTAAATGGATGAAAAGTAAATAAGTAAAAACATCAGGTGTAAGATCCCAAAAGATCCTCTTCTATTTCTGCCTTCATTTCAGACTAAAACAAATGCCTACAGCCAATGGCAAATATTTCCTCAACTAATTTTCAGATTCAAGTAATTTAAACGATGTACGGGCAGCCCATATATGTCAAAAGGCCCAGCAAGCTATGGCCGAAGTGGGATTTGTGATCTGTGTACCAGATCCTAAAATTGTCCCAAGAGGCCAAAGATTCTGTATCAGAGTGGATCTGTCTAGGAAATCCTTTTACAGGTTTAGTTACAGGACAATTCCTCATGACAGGAACTCTACCTAGAACCAGGCTAAAGTGGACTTCAGCCACAGACACAGTTTGCTGGCACTACATACTTATTTAAGAGATGAAATAAGGTTATGAATACCTCCAAAAATTTTTTTTTTAGAATATGAGTTCTCCAAGGGGAGAGGCAGAGTTTTAACACCTTTGTGTCTTCACAAAGCCTAACAGTAGGCCTAGCACATAAACGTCTACAGGATAGATACATGTGAAAGTCAGCATGGTTCTACAAAATGTTCAGTACCAATGTCGGCCCGACCTATCATCCTAAAACTTAGAAATGGATCACAAGAGAAGCACTTTTTTCTTCATCTCTTCTTTTCAAAACATCCCATGCCTTTTCTCTCCATAATTACATTCAAGTCAACAATTATTAATCCCTAACATGTATCAGGTTATAATTTAATGAGGGCAGAGGTTTACAACAGAGCTTCAGAATAAAATTGCAAATTGAAATATATACCATATGTAGTTTTTAATGGATTTCAATGAAATCAAAACATAAAGAAGCATCTACGACAAGGGGCTACTGAGAGATTATGACCTTGGTCTCCTCCCCTGGACCAGAAAAGTGTGAAACTTATAAAGGGCACTTGTCCAAGACACAGGAGACACCTGGCTTACAACATCCCTGAGCTCAGTGCAAATGTTGACACTGTCAGTCAACATGACCTAGCTCCACACCTAGTCCCGAACCTAGGCCTCTAAACTGGTCCCCAAATCCTGTCTTTCTGTGCCTGGTATGGAACCACAATGTTTTTTGTCCACGGATCTTTCTGGAAGCAGAGCTTAGAGTCATTACAGTTCAGTTCAGTGGTATCAGAGTGCTGACAACACAGCTACCAGTCCTTTGAATAATAACGCTAATAACAATGTGCTATTGGACAGTAATGTGTCAAATGAACCAACTTGGATACCCCCCGAGTTACATTTATTATCCAACAGAATATGCTAGTTTTGTAAGTGTAGAGAAAACTGAATTTTCTGTGGTAGTCTTATGTGTTTATATTACTGCTGAAGAAAAATAATTTTTAAATGTTAATAAAAATGAAAGAAATGGAAAGTGCCCAATCCTCCTAAAAATGTATCCTTACTACACACTGAGATCATCTGTGAGGAAAATAAGAACATATGCCAAGAACAACTTTAATTGCACATTTAATTTTTAAAATTACGCTGTGGCTTAGTTAGAATTAATTCTCTTTTGAGACGTTGCTCTCCTCTTCAACATTCCTTTGGCTGCCTGATGACTAGAAGAGTCTTCTTCCGCGGCCCATACCAAGAAAGTTTTCCTCTGTTTGACAATTAATCCAGGTATTGGTTTAACTTTAAAATACAGCATCCTTTTGGGTTCTTCTTTTTCTTTTAGCTCTAGTTATAGAAAAATTACTTTCATATAAGGTGGACTCAGTTTCCTGATAAAGACCTTAACTTAAAATGTGTTGTTTTTAGAGTATACACTTTCCTGTATTAAAAATACCTGACTTCTTAACTAAATGTCATGTAGACAATCTTAATAATTATTTTAAGCTATTGGCAATTTCTACCAAAATTTTGGCCTTTACGCCATAGTCTGTCCTCTGCCCCTACCACATACTCTGTTCTTGGACACGTAATCAAGTGGGACCGGGAAACTTAATTAAGACAGACTTGTTCTTGTGCTTGTGGAAAGAATATACACAAACAAAAAGGCCCAGGACTGGTAACACACACCCAAAGGAAGGAACCCACCCCGGGAGCCCGTGCCCCCACTGGGGTGCCCACCTACAGCAGGACCTCTCCCTGGAGCCTCAGGTGACACTGGGTAAACGCTGCAGCCCAGGAGAGAAGCAGTACCCTCCATTCTCGGCTACGACTTCGCTTTCTTCCAACCACAGGCGGCCAGTCTCAGGCAATACCTAATGTTAAGCTCCCTTGACAAGGCACCTGTTTTCCCTAGTAACAGCATGAGAATGGTTTCTGATTCTGTAACTCGCAGATGCAGCTGAATTCTGGAAGGCAGCTGTCTAACTGGCAATACTGTGATGACCTCCTAGCAATGGCAGCAATGACTGCTACCCACCTGCTAAAAGGAGACACAGAACTGATTTATGAAATGAAACTTCCAAACTCAAAATCATTGGTCATATGGAACAGGAGCAAAGTACTTCAAAAATGATCTCCCACCACATTAAGATTCTAAAATGTGCTTTAAATTAAGATAGACTCTCTCTGCCATTGTGGGTGTGCTGAGAGTTCCTCAATTATTCAAGTCTGACATCAAGCCTGCACTTCTGAAGGAGCGGGCAGACTTCTTGAGAACTGTGCCAGGCAATAACGGCAGTTTATGCCTCTAAGAATCATGGGGACCCTCAACAGAAACACCAGTCCTGGTCCTCAGAATGGAACAATGACATCCCTTCCTCCTTTCCACCTGTTCGTTCTTGAACACACCCTTATTCAGTACCACCTTTGGACCACGCACTCTTGTAGGTGCTGGAGAGACAGCAAAGAACAAAAGAGAGAAAACACCTGCCTTCATGGAACTTACTTCCAATGGAGGAGAAAGACAATGAACAAAATAAGTAAGTATAAAGATACTTATTTGGTCAGGGCAATACAGATTTTTCTTTAGAGAGGAGGGAGCGGTGGGATGCAAGCTATAACAGCAGTGTCAAACCCATTCACAACAGTGGAAAACACAACCTCATTAGAAAGAGAAATTAATGGACTGTGAATTAGAAAGAGAAGTATGTTTCCCATCCTCTGTTCCATTTCCAAAGTAAAACGATCACAAAAGTGTGGGGGAGCAGAATGCTTTTAAGACAACTGAAGGGCTGGATCGCTCACTTTTCTCTCTCTGTCTCTCCTTCTCGGTCTCTTTCTCTTACCTTGGTCTCCTCTAACTGCCTTTGCAGATTTTTAGGGTCCACAGCGATGGGTTCAGATAAGTGTTTGCTCGCTGTGACCTCACAGACCTGGAGCCCAGAAAGGAGTCCACATGAAGCTTCTTCATAGTGTTGATATTTATCCACCAGGTCTTTAAGGTTATTCCCAAGGACATTGCACTAAAAAACAATAAAAATGAAAACTTAGAAGAAATGAAGGGTGGAGGATTAAAATCCTACTGTATATGTGTTAAAAACCATAGGACCTACGAGTTAGGCAATTTGGAAAACACCAGAGTTCAACCAAAGTTAGGGGAAAATGATAGGACTAAGATATTTTTCTTCGTGTGAAGAACCATCTTCAAAAAGTAATCATAAAAACAAAGAGATAGTCCTAGATTTATACCAGTGCAAAAACATGTTTACAGGGGCTGGGTCTCATCACCGAATGGAGAATTCGGGTATCAATCGCCAAGGGAACTAACCTACCAGACACATTCCAAGTTTTATATACCACATGGATAGCTATGTATTTGATGGAAAAGTTTTCAAAGTACTTTATAAATCACTTCTATGTCACCCAAGACTGAAGTTGCACAAGCAGGGCAAATAATCTAGAGCAGAATGGAGCAAAGGCCAATAATCAATGATGCTCCTCAAACCATTTGTGCGACTTGGTTAGTCTGTTCAGCTTATACTGTGAGGAGGGAAATGTCTTAGTTTTGTGGGTTTTTTTTTTTTTTTAACAAAAGCCTTCTGCTTGTGCACAAGGAGAAGCTGAAACAGTCTGTTAACTGGGAAGCATTACAATAACGTACTGATCAACCACACCTGCAAAACAAACAAGTGTGAAGGGAAAATGATCTGACGTGAAAGTTTGGTTCCAAGCCTGAGAGGCTGCAAATCAGCAAGCCACGCTTCAGGTCCGGAACTAAAACACAAACGCCACCTGGTGGTCAGATCGGATATTGGCGTTTTAGAGTTAAGGCCGTCTGGAAACCACTCGCAAAAAAACCTAAATCGATACCTTGAGGCTCCTAACTTTCAAACATGTTTGCTGAGGTAAAGCAGATGAGTAAGAAAGAGGGAATGAAGATGAAACCACCTCATGTCCTCTGCTTCAGTTCTTCGATTTCTCGCTTCTAATTCCAAAAACCAAAGTGGAGAGGACAGAGCGAAACTATAGTCACAGGCTAATCTCCCCTTAAAAATAAAATTACCTTCGAGTAGAGAGACCTGAACCGATCGGTGGCATGATCCAGCTTGCCCTGGACTTCTCTGTGGGTCGCCGAAGTATCGATGCTTTCCTGGGCAGCCTTGCCGCTGCCGCTTCTCCTGCTGCAAGATTTGGCCGCTTCTAACACTCTGTTTCCAGAAATCGTGATGTACCTCAAGTCCCCTTTGTGAGAAATGACATCCTCTGAGAAACTCTTCTGCCGCTTCAGCTTGGTCAGCAAGCCGCCGAGGTCGTCTGCGCCTGCCTCCAGGTTTTCCAGCTCCTGCTCTGACTGCTGCAGCCAGTGCTCGAACTCGCTGTAGTCGGCGTCAAACTTCTCCAGTTCCTCCTGCAGAGAGTGAGTCAACTTCATCTTCCTCTCTGACTCGGCCAGCGCGGCTTCATAGTGTGCTTTCAGTTCCTTCATGTTCTTCTGCAGTTTCTCTTTCTCCTCGGGAGACAGATGGTGGCCCTGTGTATCGAGCAAGGCTTGTGCAGCCTGCGTGGCCACGAGGACGGCCTGGTGCTGAGAGGCGATCTTCTCGTGTCGGGCCTGCATGAGAACACATCAGCCGGGAGGTCAGAGCTGTGACAGGGTTACACAGAGGAGGCTGTTGGGGTCCCCCCAACCCCAGTAACCTCAGGACGGACAGACTTAAATGAGCCACAGGCCAGTGATTGGATTCTCATTGACCTCAACAGGGTGCAAAGTATTTCCCTCATGTGGTCGCATTTCAGAAGAGCAGACTTGACCATTCTAATTTCATTTTTATGGAGATTTTCTAATCTTCTCTAAAACAGCCCTTAGATAGTCACAGAAGATAAGTACTGATTTTAAGAAGTTTGGGGAAAATGTGATGAATATCTCTTCCAATTGAAAGACAAGCACCTACAGTCTGATCTCATTCTAGTCATTGCTTCCTGACAACCATCCCGAAGGGACTGCTCCTGTCTTAAGCTAATTACTGAGCAAAGAAATACAACATTTTTATTAAGAAATGATCCTGAGAAGACACTTAAGAAGGAAAAAGAGAATTTGTTAATTTGAAGGCTATAAAAACACTAGGACAACAATTAAGCAAGAACAATACACCTTCGGAGAAACCCAGAGAAAGTTAGAGGAACATACACAATCAAAGGGAATACTGGAGCTACTGGGCTTCACTGGGCCTCAGCTTCCTACATGAGGAAAAGGGAAACAATAAGCCCTACACATCCTAGGTTTGCCGACACAAGTACATGAGATCATGCGTTCAGACTACTTCCTGGCAAGCCCGGCACATGCCAGGGATTAAAATCCACTCTGAAAGCAGAGAACAGGTGCGCAGAGCTACTGCGTCCTCAACATTCAGGGCAGCTGGGCGGTGTCAGGTAGCTGGAGTCTCTTTCTCTCCAGCCACAGCAGCTGCTTCCATTCACACCAATATCCATACAACTATGGCAAAAAAAGTAAGAATCCTTTTAGGTAATTTCCAAAACTTCTCATAATGGTTTACAGGGAGCCAAGGTAATGATAACATTACCTCAGAGCTCTCTGACTATTTGGTCCACCCCCAACCCCACTCCAGGAACTCCAGTGTCTCAAACCACTACCTCCACCCCCACCTCGTGAGGCACATTAGGGGCTTTTTTCCCCAGGTCTTCTCATCTGGTAACAGCTCTTCCCTCAGGTATCTCTCGCACACATCCCCTCTAAGTCTTCACACAAATCTCATCGTCTCAGGGAGACCTGCTCAGAGATGGTCCTATTTAATGCTGATAAGTGGTTCCTGACCCCATGCTCACCCACCCACACCAACTCAACTTATTTCTTTTAGCAAAAGATCATCACCTTCTAACATCCCATATTGTATAAAATTTAGTTATTAATAAATAACTATCATCCTCACTATCCTCACAGGCAAGCACCATGGCAGGTAATGTATTTTGCTCACTGGGAAATCCCAAGCACCTAGAACAGTGTTAGCACCAAGGGCTAATAAGAATAACTATGCTATGAAATAAACAGGACTGAGAAGCATTGTTGTAGGATAACTGTTCACTTACAAGTCTGATCCCCATCAGTCAGCTGAGAACAGACTCATGAATATTTGTATTCTGTCTATAACAATGCCTGCCACATCATGGACACATGATATTTTTGTCCAAAGAACTTTTCTCCCACAGACTATGTCTTTGACATTTGAGCTATAACCATAGACTGCCCTCCAGTGGGTCCTCCGCACATGGGAGGTTAGACAGACATATGGAACACCTTATAAATGATCTGATCCATCCCCTTCCTTTTATAAATGAGGAAATCTGGGCTGAGGGAAGAAACCATGTGGCCTAGGACATGTGGCACAACTAGAAATTACTGGAAACAGAGAAGCTCTGGCCAGGCCCTTGGGCTGTCTCTGCACTCTGTCAGGACATTAGGAATTCCTAAAGCACTTTCAGAGACCCATATCCTTAGAAGCAAAAAGATCAGAAGGCAAACATCATGCTGTGGCTAAAAACAAGAGCTTTCCTACAAGGCCTCTTTATGTTTGAATCCACCCACTGGTATTTTCACTCGTTGGGTCAAGTTACTAACCTTTCCTGACTTCTTTGTAGCTGACTCATTCCTAAAGGAATTCATTAAATTTTTCATTTTAAGAGATAATTACAATAAGGTTCTGGAATAGCCCCCTGGAAACTATGAATACAATAACTACTTCCACTCTTCTTCTGGTTTGACTTATATTTCCCAGACTATAAAAACCTTCTATTCCAAGGACTCCAAAGACAAAGACATGGAGGAAAACTTCCCAAACTGCAAAGGGGCCTCCAGTCCACTCATCTGATTTTGTGACAACAAAAGCCACATGCTGAAATAAAATGATCAGTTATGTGACACTCTAAAAAAGGTTTTCAAAAGTTGCCTCTGCTCCGGCACTAGATGTGTACACTTGGACAAGCGACTTCACTTCTGTACGTTCCAGTTTCCCCACCTGTGAAATGAGAATGTAGCCCCCGGCTTCCAAGGGAGCGGGGGGCCAGGGGGACTCAGGCTGTTCAGATGGGAAGAGCTGAGAAAGGAGCCTGCAGGGTCCACCATAACTGTTATCTATTTGCTATTAATTAATACCAGCTATCATTATTTCTATTAATTCCTCACAAATTTGCTCCCATTAGTAGAATGCCACATCTCGTGACTTAGTTCTCATTGTTTCTTGCTTAGAGTTCTCACAGCAACTTATATCTGACACAATGATGCACCTAGAAAGTGGGACTTTATTGTCAGTGGTCATTAAGGTTTCAAGAGAGAACTCGGGTGCCCCATTTCCACAGACCTAAGATACAGAATTCGACAATATCACTCTGTTTAAAACAACAAACCTTAACTTTCTGGTACTGCTGGTTCAGATTCTCCTCAGTGGTTCCAACTTGTCCATCAACATCAGTTTCCAACAGGTTACCATTAACCTCATCCTCCTCTCCCATCACCAACGTGCCATCGCCTTCTTGAAAATGAGTTCCATTCTGTTCAATGACCTGTCTCTGTTTGACCTCTGCTCTGTCAGAGTCTTTGTCCACGTTGGAGAGCCAGTCCAGAAGGTTTTCTATTTTGGTTTTGCTCTCTTCCAGTTGCTTTGCAGCCGCCACCTGGAGAGAAGAAGTTCACAGGAGATATTCTATATGCTGGCTGAGGCACTAGTTTTAAGACACTCCAAAAGTAAATATTTAAAATCATTTAAAATTAGAGTGGGGATACTAAAAATGGACACACACTGAAAACTGAACACAGTGAAATTAAACCTTAGAGTCACAGGTAGTTACTGGGCATTCTGAAATTTTAACTACAATTGATGTCCTTAAAAAGACATTCTGAAATTTTAACTACAATTGATTGAGTCTCATGCATTTCCCAAGTAGAAAGCCTGACAATCCCACTTAAAAAAATTTTTTTAAAGTTAAAACGAGTTTTTCAAACTTTCTATAATATTTGGCCAATTATATGACTGGAAACCCATCATTCTCGTCTCTGGTACTAATCATTGCTTACTGGCACCTGATACCACTTAAAACTTCAAGTAGCTATTACACTAATCATCTTCAACAAAGCAACAGTGTATCACATATTGGAATGAGGACCTTTTCAGTTTCTTCTTTGATTGCTGTTGTCACAACTTTATCCAGCTCCTTTTTGGATTGTTCTGCCTTTAGATTAAGCTGTTCACACTTAAACTTGGCTTCATTGAGTTTTTGCTCAATCAAAGCTTTATCTTCTCGTGATAGCTTCTCGCCATTCTCTTTTAAGAATTTCTCCGTATTTTTCACTATTTCTGCCAAAGCCTGTGCACTTCCTCGCATATCTTTCTGTAATTCCTTATAACACAAAAGAAAAAAAAAACTCTTATTAAATTATTACCTATTTAATTCTTTGAGAGCTGTAATTCTAAAACAGGGAGTGAGCAGAGAAGAATCGAACACTTATTTATAGGTTGAAAACGCATAGTCAATCTGAGTTGGTTTACTTAAATCACAATATTTAATTTAATGTGAACTCTCAAACAGCATTAAAGAAAGTGTGAGATTTTCATGTTTCCAAAACATAAAAATTTATGTTTCAGAACATGAACTTAAGGAGCATGTAGGTGGCTCAATTGGTTAAGTGGCTGACTCTTGGTTTCAGCTTGGGTCATGATCTCACGGTCCTGGGATCCAGCCCGGCATTGGGCTCCACACTCAGCGGGGAGTCTGCTTGAGGATTTCTCTCCCTCTCCCTCTGCCCCTCCTCCTGCTCTGTCTAAAATAAATAAATAAATCTTCAAAAAAAAGAGAAAATAATCAATTTAATAATATAATCTATACAAATTTGCACACACCAGATATTATCACACTATATGAACACATTTATAGGAGCTTTTAAAGACATGACACTACTATTTATTCAGTTTCTAAACATTTATTGTTTAATATATATCTATTTACTCAGGATAAAAACAAATTCTCCCAGTGAACTAAGATAACTTCTTCTAACCCCAAGGCTCTCTAATATGCAATGTTTGCTTCTTTGCCACAGTTGCTAGGAAGCTCAAGATTAAGATCTCTCCTCAGCAGTTATAGCTTCCCTCCATCTAGATTTCTCTATGGAATTTTTCTCTTCTTTTCCTCCTTTATTTTGTGTTTTCATTCTCCAAATTATACTGTGTTTGAACTTTCGCAATATTTTTCTGTATTTTTTAATTTAAGTTTTATCAAATCATTCTAAGTATTTGAATGGAAAGAGATACTACTTATTGAGCCACTACTACGTGCCATTAACTGTGCTAGTCACTTAATTAACACACAGCATTTGCTTAACTCCTACAATCAGTGACGTATGACCAACAAAGAAACTAAGGCTTGAAGAGGTTCTTTATAAAGCTAACAGTGTGGAGTATCTTGGATTTGAACCAAGAGCTATCTAGTTATCATGAGAATGTTCTTTCTCCTGACACCAAAATCAGACTATCTTTACCTCTCTTTATTGTTTGTTCACTTGATGAAGAGGGACAAATTGTGGAGAAAGATGAAAGGAATAGGAAATTAAGAAAGAGAAAGAACCCAGACAAATGGCTATTATACAACTAAGTGAACTGGCCTTAAGGGGAGACAAGTTTTAACTCCTCACACAAGGTATTTCCATTAGCAACCTCCTTTATGGCGCCTTCCCTCAATATCTCACCAACACCAGTCAAGAAAATTATTGGCTTTCTTGAAGCTGGAAATGTAACTCTTAGCATCAAGTTGAAAGTTCACCTTGGCTCAGAATAGCTGACATGATTTGCTAATAATACTATTAGTATCAACAGAAAGCTGCTGATGCAAAACCAAATTTTACCTCCTGCTTGGACTGATACTTCTTTAACTCAACTGTGCCATCTCCAATCACGAAGGCTTCCTGGTGACCAATGAGGCGGTTTTCAGTCTGGGTGAGGAGATCGCATATTCCTTGGAGTTTCTCTTTGTACTCTTGCTGACGTTCTGCCACGATCTAAACAGGGCAAAATCAAAGCACCTTAGATGTGTGGTCATAAACTCACTATTGTGATTCCTCCTTATGAGAACACATTTTGCAAGTTCTGCACATTTTACGAGTTCTAACTGCAAAACCAGAACATATCTTGCAAGTTTTTCTGTGTATGCTGTAAACATGATAGCAGTGGGGTACATATGGAGCAAGGTGACACAGAAAGTAAGAGCATGTCCCGTATACAAAGAAGGAGCTCATGTTCGGATGAAACTGCTCAGGAGAATACTGGCCATGCATATGGGTAAGAGATGGAGCTTCTGACCCACAGGAAGGAACATTCCATGTTCTTAAGCTCTCGAAACCTGCGACACACACAATTAATTCTGCAAAAGGATACCAAAACAGAAGTTAGTTGTGGTTTGTCTGTTAATGTATCTGCTATGTGTACTTAGGTTATCATGCGAAAGACAATGCCTAGGGGCTTCAAGAAATAATAAAAGGAGCACTGCATGCAATGTTTTTACTTAATCACTATGCCTAATTCCACTGCCACCCCTCTGCTCATTATTGCTATTAGATGTAGCACTCTAATATAATTCACTCTATTAAGAGATTAATTTGGTAAATCAGTACTAATACTTGCACCTTTCCTTTTCCTACTATTTATACACTAGTTATGCATCTTATAGCCACTGATCATGTTTCCTAGAAGCCTAACACATGCCAGGCAAGTAAAGTACTATGTGTTCTATAGTCATTCTTTTTTTAGTGCTCACAATACTACCAGGTAAGCATGGTTACTATTTCATATTTATCACTGAGAAAACCATGATTGAGCAATGTGCCCTAGGTCACACATGACTGAGGGTAGCTAGGAGGTGAGCTCAGCCACTCTGACTCCAGAGCCCATGCTCCGTGCTGCTGTGCCCTCCTTCCTCCCAGTGGGAAAAGATACCTTACCCTTCTTTGTCCATATGTTCTTCAATTTATCGAAATCTGAGTGCATCCATATTTCCTACTCCCCCCCCAAAATCAAGACTCCCACTTGAAAATGGTGGTTTCAGGGAGTCATAAAAATTAAAATAAACTATAGCATTCTTGTGGAAAACAATATTCTTATATATTCCAGAATCTCTCCATTATACCCTGTCCACTAACTGCCTTTCCGGATCCTGGGGTATCCACATAACAGGTTTCACACAAAAGAACTAAAAACGAAGAATTCCAGCTCCACAAAGAAAGGCAAACCTTCTGATCATCAAGATCTTGTTCTAGCTGTAACAGAGCCTCTAGGTGCTCTACCCGGGCAGTTACTGATTCCTGCACATCAAGAAAACACTTCTGAGTGGTATTTAGGAGCCTCAGGAGTTGTTTGCTTTGGCTGGGAGACAGGTCTTGCGCACACTCAGAAATGAAGAACTGCACATCAAGGGCAGTAGCCTCCAGCTGCACTTTGGTGTGTCCAAGGTCTTTTAACACGTTCTGTGAACAAAACAGTGCAAGTTATAAAATGGGAAGTAAGCCATAATATAAAACTTGCATTGACAATATTTAAAAACAAGGTTTTACTGACATGTTTTCATGATTCGGTTAGTCAAAAATCTATTCAGCACCTGATAGTGGATGGTAATGATGAAATTATTTAAATACTATGGTACTTAATATTATATGGGAAGACAATTTCTCTAAGAATTTTTTTTAAATTTCTCTAACTTACTAGTCTTCACTCTTACTCGAACTTTCTAGTCTAATATCTTTCTTAGAGAGAGTGTGCAGGAGGAGGGACAGACGGAGAAGGAGACCATCTCAAGCAGACTCCCTGCTGAGTGCAGGGCCCAAAGAGGGGCTCGATCTCACAACCTGAGATCATGACCTGAGCCAAAATCAAGAGTCGGATACTTAACCGACTGAGCCACCCAGGTGCCCCTCCTCTAAGAATATTTTATTCTTTTTATATTTAATATTTTAATACTTTAATCTTGCCTCCATAGCACATTTAAAATGTAACTCTAACAAAAGATAAAAACCCAAACTTACATAGATTTGGCATGTTAAAGGGGAAAATAAACATTAAAATATTACTTGTTAATATTTACAATATCCATGTAATTGTGGCTTCACATAAATAAGCCAATGGGGAATCTGAAACATAAATTCAATGAACTACAATTTCAGTTTTCTGACTCAGGCCAGGAGCCTAAACATCATTCATGAGGCATGCTATCCAAGTTAAGAACTATGATGTACTTTTAAGACTAATTTAACAATTACATATTTATGTGACTAATACATGAATATAAATCTTAAGATGTCAGTGGTGGTAAGACACTGATAAGGCAGTTGGGAAAGCATCAGAATGATAACCATAAGTTGTGATTATTTTATGGTTGTGTTAGTTATAAATAAACATCTCTTAGAGACAAGGAAAGAAATAATCCTTTCAGATTTAGCAGTCATGATTGTTCTTGTAAATAGTTGTTATATTAAACCTGGAGGTTTTTAAATGTACTTTATCTCATTTATTTTGATACTTGCCTTGAGAAATTCCAAACTTCTCTTCACATGTTCAGCGTCTTGTACATTCACAATCTCAATATCCTTCATAGACTTGCTCTTCTCGGATATCCAATGTGAGAAAGACTCCAGTTTCTGTAGAAATTCTTCATGGGAAACTGCTAGTTTAGACTAGAAAATAAAATCATGTGTTCATTTCAATTACCAAATTTCAAATTCCTACAAAAACTGGCTCTGTTTCAAGGCCCTAGAAGTATTAATACAAAAAAGACTTCATCTCATAACTAAATTTTCAAATAATCAAATTTTCTTCAAAACTCAAATTCTGACTTGGCGTGAAATGCTTCGATGCCTACCATTTCGGAGTCAATCGCAAGCATGACATGTTTCATTCTTTCTGAAGATACAATGCTGAGGGAAGAGAAAGCAGTCTGCAAATTTTGGTGGCTAGTCCTCAATTCCTCCAGCTGTCCGCTGGGGAAGTCACTGGGAAGAGACTCTAAAAACTCTTCTGCCAACTTCATGTCTTTTCTTAAAAGAACAGCAATTGGAGCCAATCCCAATTCAAATGTCTGCGAAAAACAGATATCCCAGAACCATTCAGTGAAAATACCAATCACAATCCATTCTAAATGTACGAGTAAAGCCCAATGCTCATTTTTCCAAATTAACACCAGCTGACAATCATTCGTAACAGGCAGTGGATAGTTCTTACCTCTAACTGTTTAAGTTGGTTCCTCAAAGCTTCCAGATTATTATCCAGAGACTCCTGGCTGTCTAAAGGGGGCTTCATATCTTGAAGTAAAGCCAAATACTCATGCATTTTTGATGTGTGCTGTGAACACTGCTGTAATTCAGTGGAAAACTAAACACAAATTTGGACATTTTAATTCAATAGCCTTTACATTGTTTTTTAAAGCAAATAAAATATATGGGGTTATTGCCAAATGTTTCATGCAGCTACTGCCATATAAAAATGTAAAATCAACTTACTTGTTCCATTGAGCTATCTCCAGACGTCATTCCTTTTGACCCTGAAATACTTTCCAAATGGTCTGGGGTATCACTGCATAGCTCCCCCAGCTTCTCATCGCTTGGCAATGCTGATGTACACACAGTCGAACTTTCTAGTCTAATATCTTTTATATTTTGTGAACTAAGGGAACAGTGGTTTCCTTCTTTACTTTTAAGATCATCAAGAATGTGTGACTTTTCATCCACCATCTCAGGAGTAGTGGGTGATTTTTGATTCAAGTCACTGACCTGTTCTACGTTCTCTGAGTACGTGTCAGCCAGCAGCTTGTAGAAAACATTTTCAAGTTGCAATGGAGCTACTTTAGAGGTTATACCTCTTTTCTCTAGCTCATACTCCATCTGGGTTAATTCTTTTATCAATTCAAATGCTCCAGTAATTTTCTGCCTATGCTGATTTTGCTTAAGTATATCAAGGAGAAGCTCAGACTTCAGATTTGCAATATAGAACAGATCATCGCTGCTCTCTGCTTTCAGCTCTGGTGAGTTATTCACAGGGGAAACCCCAGAACAGACACCAACTTCAAAGTCACTGGGCACACCAGATGCTTCATTTGCCAACTGTGATGTGCTAACTCTTTTAATTAAGTTTTGAAGTAAAGTTCTGGTGTCTGCACAGACTGAAGATTCTTCAACCTCTTGAGGATTCATAGGGCCTTCTTCCAGTATACTTTTTAAGATATCCTTTACATCCTCAACAAATACCTGAGATAACTCAGGAAACTGAACCTCCTTTTCTTGGAGTCCTAGAGACAGGGCGTGTTGCTTTTGCTGCTGTTGCTCAATTATTTCCACCTTACTGTTAATTTCTGATAATGAGCAGGCTGTGCTTAAAGGGCTCCTGGAGTTACCATTTCTTATTCGATTTGTGCAGAGTTCTGGTGGCACAAAATTGTTATTTTCCCCCTGGTCTTCCACATTTCTAAGAGGTAAGATTGACAGTGTGCTTTCCTTCCTTTCTGGTGTGAACTGAGCAATTCCTGTTCCCCCTTCTGAGGCACTCTCTTTAGTACAAGGACCACTCTGTCGGGCCATCTCATTTAGAGGTGAGATTTCCTGGATAAGAGCTATCTTCTCTTTTGCATCATTTACTCTGAACTCTACGTGCCCCTTCACAGCAGGGGAAGCTATAAGAACACAGCTTGGGATACCTTCACTGGGTTTCGAGACACCTTTTGCTTTTACATCTTTTGCACAATGTTTTAAATAAGTGAACAGGTCAGAGTCTTTCTCAGGCCCATCAGTGAATGAATCTCTCTCAGTACTTGTATCCCCTTCAGACAACAGAATGTCTGAAGTCATGTCAGCACCAATCACTCTGGAAACTGAGGAGTCAAATATTTCTTCAAGATTCTCAAACTGAACAGGACTTTCACATACCACTGTCTGTAGGTTCTCTGGTTCATCTCTAAGAGTTACAGTTACTTTTTTCAGGCCTCCTTTCTGATTATGTTCTTCACTGTCTGTGATTTGTG